CTACCGAACAAGAGTCGACATGCATCTACTACCATATCTAGCTTGTCGGCAACACGTAATTTTTTTTAGATATTAAAAACAATCTTTTTATTTTATTAATTGAATATAAAACTAATAATTTGTTGTTTTAAGGTTCTGCTCTGGACCTAGACTATTCATGTCATTCTAGATATCATTCGAAGCAAGTACGACTCAATATACTTGTCATGGAAGGAGATTCAGCTAGCCCTTCAAGATATTTGATTTAAGGAGTGTGACTTGTATCTTTCACAAATATCTTAAGTTGTTTTATTTATTTATAAAATGAGCATAATAACTGTAATTTTACATACATAATTTTCCTGATGCCCTGAGCAAGAGGCACACATCCAATTCAACTTTGAGGGCAAGGGCAACGATCGCCTCCGAGACATGTTTGATGATATGTGAAAATCATGACGATGCTTTCTGTGGCTCGGAGAGGATGTTTTTGCCACACTATTGAGATTCTGGGATTCCCCGAACTACCGGAAGAAGGAGTAGGTAAAGCTGAATAGGCGGTCAAGCTATGGAGGCATGGGGCCCTCCAAGTATACCAGTGGGGCAGTCCCACATATAGAATGCAAGCGGAGGCTAGTAAGATTTCATTCATTCTTTAAATTTTTCTATTGTTCAAAGATGTATTATAACTATTTTGTTATATGGATAGACTGTGGAAATTGAATAAGAGCCCTTCGTTGTCTATGTCCATGAGTGCACCCAAAAGAGATGGTTCGACCTGTTTTGGATCGACGACATATGCTAAACTAGTTTGATGTTAAACATGCTAGCCTTAACTGAATATAACTACCTTTTTTGTAGGAGAGATTTAAGCTGTTGAAGGAGAGCCGATCCCTGACATCGAGAGGTATTATGATCTGTGAGCGTGATCATTCCGAGTATGACATATGGAGGGAGGCTGCTAAAGGGAAGAAGAATGATCCAATCTATGGGCTCGGGTTGCAGAGGTTTGCATATGACAGTCACCCATCCACCAGCGCATCTTCAGCTTCTACCTCTACTGCATAGGATGAGGAGAGTAGGTGTTGTCGCATTTGCTGTTGACATGGAGTTTTGTTTCACTCAGCTAAGGTCAAAGTTGGAGGCTAGCATGGAGGCCAGGCTGAGGCTGAGTTAGATTCCTTCCGACTGCCAAGGCAGTGACACCATTGGAGGAGGAAGAAGCGACAAAGGTCGCTGAAGATGAGGATGAAGAGATAGAGAATGATGATAGGGGGGTATATTTCTTTTTTTAATGATTATGTTGTACATTTGTATAAATATTTTTCATGTGTACAATGATGTATATATTTTAGTTAAATGCATTTTATTTATTTATTTATTTTACTGGATAATTTACTGTTTGACTGCAATCCTACTTTGTTAAATGCTTGGATTGACATATTAAATGTTGTGATAATGGATGCAATAATGTAAATTCGAAAGGAGGAATCTGTTTTTTTGCTGATGCTACAGGTTTCCTACGACTTATTATCAATTTTGTGACTACTTTTAACATATACACAGTCAAAACCATCGACTAACCGATGCACTTATTTACTGACGGTCAACTGTGTTGACCGCGTGACACTTTTCCGACAGTTAATCCTTCAGTTAAAAAAATTGACCCATCATCAAGACATAACCGACGGTTTGCTTGCATCAAAAAACCTCGGGCGTGGCACAATGTGTAAGCTGTCGCTATTACCGATGGAGTAATCGTTGGTTCATAGAACCAATGGAAATCGACTATTTGAATTGTCTAAAAAATGTTATGACATTAAGTTATATGCTGGTAATTTCATGCAGTCTGAATATCCGTCGGTTTTGAAATTACCTACAAACGTTTTACCTACGAGCTTAAAGTCATTGATAAACCATCATAAACAGTAAAAATTACAGTGTTTTCATCAGAATCGCCGAAATTTGGTCATCGAAAAATATCATTATTTCTGTAGTGTTATTTGATCAACACTAAACAATAATATATATTTATCACTTTATAAAAGAATAACATGTTAATACATCATCGTATATATAGCATTTCATCAAATAAAATTCTTCATATTTATATCACACATCTTTTATGTATTTACATATCTAGCACCTGAACTTACATATTATATTCGGAGATTTTACATAGCACCCGAAACATGAGATCTTACGAATGTCCCACCTAAACTTCACTTTTTACGGAGGGTCTCTTCGGAAGAAAATGATGGTATAATGTTGCAAAAAGAAGTCCAAAACTCCCATCTTTCTCCTCTGCCGTTGAAGAAGTCCAAAACTCCCATCTTTCTCCTCTGCAGTTGATCGGATCACAACATACAAAAATCTCATACAAAAATCTCATACAAAAATCTTCGAACATACAAATATCTCTGAAGCTCCTATCATGCTCCTTCTTCTGCTCCAATCCCACATACCCATCTTTCTCCTCCAGAGATAACAAAAATGAGGCGTACGAAGACTCCAAAGGCAATTACAAGGATTTCTGAAACCCATATTGGTCCTCCTTTCACTTTGATTCCACTCGAAATCCAAGGAACTCCCATATTTCTCTTCCAATGGCGACAATGTCGCAGCCTACAAAGACCAACGCCAATGGCAACGACAGCGTCACGAAGTACAAAGATCTCTGAAACTCCCATATTTCTCTTCATTTGGCCATGCTCTGATGACTTTATAAATGATATTAATAGTGTATATTAATTTTGTTTTTTATTTGAGTGTTTTGGCTGTTGAGGAAGTAAATATAGAAGTCTGTGAGAGATGCAATATAAAAAATTTGGAGTGCTATGTATGTAAATCCCCCTTATATTAATGATAGTTTTGTGGCATAAATCTATAAATTGAAATATAAATTTTACTTTAAAAATACACTGCCTTTACACACAACACACAATTCTTAAGCATTTACATATCTGACATCTAATCTTTAACATAAAAGAAAATATCTACCATTTTATTGTTAAAAGCGAAATACATCTTTTCATGCGTATGTTTATGCCACCGATTTGTTATAAATGTAAATATTAAAATCCTGGTGTTAGATATATAAATATATAATGTGTTATATATATAAAAATTACCTTTAAAATATAGATTATAGTGGTATTTTTTATATGTAATTAAGAAAATAGAGGGCGCGTTTGAGGCGGCGGTGTGGTGCCTCACCATAATTTTTTCTGTTTGCTAAAGCTATATTTTGCCACCTTTTTAAACAAGCTGCAGTTTAAAACTACGTTTTGCCACCAGATTTGATTAATTGCAGTGACTGTTAGAAAACTAAGACCTAATTTTTTTAAAAAAATTGTCATAGTCATCACAACTTTTTGATTACAAATTTCTTTTACTACCCAATTGGGTAGTTGGATGAGGTCTGTAAGAAATAGAAGAGAGATGTTGTAATGGGTCGGACTTAATTCCAAACACCGAATGTCTCCTGTATAATTCATTTTTTTATTTGGAGATAGACTTTAACCAGTGAAACCGTTCCTCCCAACTATAAAAATAAACAATAGAGTTCTAACATAGAGAAAAGATAGTACAAGGGACCCCCATACCAAGAGTAGATCCCAACTTGTAGTATTCACGGTAGAATGATGGATAAAAGAACCTATATCAATGGATTTATTATGCTGGATACAACAGTTTAAGAATGCTCGATCCTTAGTTACTTCAATAAGATTATTAGATGAGAGAACTTTGCAGAAATGAAATAAGAAAATAATTCACGATTGGCTCTTCAAATAGTTGCAACAGTCCCAAAAAAAAACTCGTGTATGATCATGTAAATATAAAAACATAGAGGTTGGATATGTAAATATATAAGAATTGTAGGGCTGTATGTAAATGAGCCTCATATTTTTTAAGATTGTTGCCATAAATCTTTGTATAAAAGTGTTTTTTTATCATATATTGATAGTTTTGTTGTGATCTTAAAATTTTAAATGTAAATACCTCTAAAATTGTTGAGAAGCTTTGGGGTTTCGTTTTTCTTCACAGCCAACATCAACGGTCGTCATATTCCTCGTCGTCACCGGCGGAGCCCCGTTCTGGAAACTTGAGGCCGCCGCGCTTGATTTCTTCTCGTTTCTTCGGGTGTCGGAAATGGTGGCACCGCAGGGAATCAAGTACGCCGTCAGCCTAATCGCGGCCCAATTCGGCAACGTCGTCGCTGTAAGCCCCCTCTTCCCCCAACTCGCACGCTTCCATTTTTTTTCTTCTTCCCGTAGCTCTAACCCTAGAAAACCGCAGAAGGTCTGCGAATGTCTCATTCACCGTGGATCCCTCTCTTTTATGGAGGTCGTTCGCTTCACTGAGCTTTCCCAAGGACAGGTGAAGAACTGTCTTCTTGTTCTTATCCAGCACAACTGCGTCCAGGCATTCTCCGTCCCCAAAACAGGTTGCTCTATACCCCAAGACCCACGCCCACCCCGCCTTTATTTGGTTAATCACTCTCTTAAAGCTTATTGCAGTTGGGTTGGGCGGCGTCACTAAGCCCACCACACTTTACATGGCCGTCTTCGATAACGTTATCCACCGAATGAGATTCTCGAAGTTCTTGCTCGTAGTTAAGGAGCACCTCGGTAACCAGGTTAATTAAGCTTTTTTTTTGTTTTCATAGTTGTTTATATTTAATCATACTTCCATGTCTTTATCCAACACCAGATAGGTTATTAAGAGAGAAAAATTGGAACTGCTAAGTTGATTTAACTTGGTGTGAGGAAAATGTCTAGTTCTATAAAAGATTGCCTTTTGTAGTTATAGAAGTGCTTATCAATAGATTGTGCATTAGGGAGAAAGTTTGACTATGAAGTGAGGAACTATGAAAGTTTATTGTGAACAAGAAATATAAATTGAAAGAATTAGGAAATGAATGCCAGCGAGATGTGTAATAATAACACAAGCTAGAAATTTCATGTATATGCCAGCTAATAAAGTTAGAGCTACATCTTTTGATGATTTGCATGGTAGGCTGGGACTATGGAAGAGTAGAAGGATATATCAAGGATTAAAACATGACAATGAAGTTCTAAATCTTTTTGTCAAGTTAGACGCATCAAGAGTTAAGCTAACAAGATTACTTGAAGATGAAGAGATCAATAAAAATAAAATTTTAAATTGAATAATAAGTTTAATAAGGAAAACTAAGATATATATAGATGGAAAAAAGGTTAAGTTGAGCTAGTTTTGAAGAAGATGCATAAAGGTGAAGCTTTAGGTCAATTGTAAATAGATATCCTAAAGTCTAATAGATTGGCAGATGATCGAATGGAAAAATTTTAAAATTTACATTGAGAATGAAAGAGTTGTTGACCTCACTTTTGCTACAATTGAGCTCAACCTTTGCTCACACACTTTGGTTGGATTCAAGTGTCTTTTAGGTTCTTTCATTAGGGCTGTCAAAACGGCTCGTTGTTCGCTACAGCTCGTGTTTGGCTCGTTAAAAAGCTTGTGTTCGATTCGTTCATTAAGTTAACGAGTCAAACACGTACATTTTTTTTTTTTTTTTTTTTAAGATTGGCCAGAGGACCAGCCTTCTGACCAACCTCATGTGCCTAATAATTTCATCCCGCACATAGGTTGGATCAAATCCGTGACCTCGGGGGTCTTACAAATTGCCAACCAACGGGTCACGGTTGGCGGCACATTTGTATATGTATGCTTATTCAATTAAAATTATTAGTTAAAAAATAGAATAAAAATGTATTAAATTATATTTAAATGATGTTTTAATATATAAAATAAGATTTAAATCTTGCCCCAACCCTTAACATTTTACGACTGCGTGATTAGGGTTGTCAAAATGACTCTTTGTTCGCGAACAGCTTGTGTTTGGCTCGCTAAGAAAACGAGCCGAACACGAACAACGATATTTTTTAACGAGCCGAACACGAGTTTAGACTGAGCTCGCTCGTGTTTGACTCATTTACACCCATATCTATCATTATGGGGTATTGCATATACCCTATGATTTGAACTCATAGCTGTCTAGCTTGGGCCTCACTCTTATCATCTAGACATATTTTCTTTCATTGAGTCGAGCACATACTAACTCAATTGAATTCTTACATCAAGCAACCAAGTGGTCCATCTTTCATGTTCTTTGACTAACATTAATCATGTCAGTGGAGACGTGGTCATATTTCCCATGGCCATCTAATACAGTTAAACAAATACTCATTTGGACATTGATCTTAAGCATCTCTGATTTTTGGATTTGTTATACTTTCGATACATCATCTGAGTTAGACTCTCTTATAATTAAGCATATATGGGTCAACCAAACTTAAATTCCTCAAAATCAATTTTTCTTAATATTTCAGAGGTGGAGGCCCTAGTCATCATAGATATGCGGGACTTTTGTACTTTTTATATATCATTCACAATTGAGCTTTCTTATCATTGAGCACGTCTGGGTCAAGAAAACCTAAATACTTCAAAATCAAATATTCATTACATCTTATAAAATTATCATTTTTTCCACTTTATAAGGTCCTGTTTTCAAGGAAACTCATGACCGTAATGATTTGTTCTCTAATCTGTGGATTCAATCACCTTAGAAATATGTGATGCATTCTACAATTTTGACATGGAATTTCATGTTTAGGTTTAAATCATCCGATGATGCCTGATTTAATTATTTGATTGTGTCTCAATTATCAATATCTCAAACCTCAATTCAAATATATATTTTTGGTTTAGCTTGACCACCAGTTGAGTTAACAAAATGCAAATATAGATCGATTGATTACTTCAACAACTATTTTAGTTTTTCAAATGGGTCCAGTTAATCAAAACTTAACTACAAGTATACATATATTCTCTTGGTTTAATCATATGTCTGAGCCCAAATTATTAAAACTTAGGTGCTTGTTCTTCATTACATTAAATTTAGATCAAACTGCACCCTTCACCTTTAACTCATAAGCCATAGTAATGACCCCATGCACATAGCGAAGTTCAATATGTCCAGTGTCAACTCACAATCCCATGAATACAGTCATTCATTTGATTTAATAAACTTCAACAGTTGAGTCAATACCCCTTCTCTCTAGTTCAATATGTTTCTAGACAAAGTGTGCATATAAGGTTTAATACGTTCAAAGACAAAGATCGATTGTTTGATCTGATTCAACATATCATAGTGGCAGAGTCAGATTCCTCTTCTTCTAATGTAACATGTATGAAGATTGAACTTCATTTTTGTTTTCCATTTTTGAATTCAATGCATTAGAGACCGAGCTAGAGACTTTTGAATATTGAGCTTGAGATTGCTTCTTGTTCATTAGGATTAAAACATGACAATGAAGTTCTAAATCTTTTTGTCAAGTTCGACGCATTAAGAGTTAAGCTAACAAGATTACTTGAAGATGAAGAGATCAATAAAAATAAAATTTTAAATTGCATAATAAGTTTAATAAGGAAAAACTAAGATATATATGGATGGAAAAAAGGTTAAGTTGAGCTAGTTTTGAAGAAGATGCATAAAGGTGAATCTTTAGTTCAATTGTAAATAGATATCCTAAAGTCTAATAGATTGGCAGATGATCGAATGGAAAAATTTTAAAATTTACATTGAGAATGAAAGAGTTGTTGGCCTCGCTTTTGCTACAGTTGAGCTCAACCCTTGCTTACACACTTTGGTTGGATTCAAGTTTCTTTTAGATTCTTTCATTAGGGCTGTCAAAACAACTCGTTGTTCGCTAACAGCTCGTGTTCGACTCGTTAAAAAGCTCGTGTTCAATTCGTTCATTAAGCAAGTGTGTGGAACAAGTTAACGAGCCGAACATAAACACTTTTTTTGTGCTCGATATATAAACAAGCCAAATACAACCAAATATTTGCTCGTTTGTATTCGACTCATTTTGACTTGAATACTACTCATCATATATATATATATATATATATATATGTATATATATATATATATATATATATATGTT